AGGGCCTGGACGCGGGGCTGCGCTCGGCCTGCCAGAGGGACTCGAGTCGCCCCGTTTCCCTCCCAGGGCCGGGCCGCAGGGCGGGAGCGCAACGCCCCCTCGCTCGGGCCGCACTGGGGGCGCCCCCGGCTCCAGAGGCCGCCGCCCACCCCGGCCCTCCCCTCGCTGCCCGGGAATCGCCCGGGAATCGCGCAGGGCGTCCAGGGTCTCCGGCGCAGGGGACAGCTGCGGCCTCGGCGCCGCTCAGGCCCGCCGCCACGTGACGCGCGGGTCACGTGAACTCCGTGACGTCACGCCGCCGCCGGAAGCCGAAGCGGCCGGGGACCCCGCGCCTCTTTCCGGTCCGGGTTCCGCCTCTTGGTTCCGCCCAGCCCCGCGCATCCCGCCCGGGTCCGAGGGTCTCGCGTGGCCCCGGCGCGGCCCGGGAGCCCCCGGGCGCCGAGACTGGCCTTAGAGCCGGCAGTGGTGGTGCTAAGCCGTCGGGGCGACCCCTCCCTGGGCAGCCCCTGGACACCGCCGCGTGGGGCCAGAACGTTGGTTTTGTTTGTCCCTTTGGTCGAGATAAAATAAAGCGAAGGGACCGAGGGGCAGCGCAGGGGTCCGGACGGTCACCTGGCACACGGCCGACCCGGGTTCGATCCCCAGCGTCCCCTAGGGTCCCCCGAGCACCGCCAGGCGTGGTTCCCGAGTGCAGAGCCAGGAGGAACCCCCGAGCACCCCTCGATGTGACCCCAAAAGCAAAATAAATAAATAAATAAAAGACGCAAAGTGACTAAGGACAAAATTGGTCCTCGGCCTGCTGGAAAGTCTCACCTTCGGGGCCGGAGATAGCTCCGGGATGCAGGCATTTGCCTGCAGGAGGGATGTGCTTCCTGTGCTCCAGCCCCTGCAGCCCCCCAAAGAACGCTGATGAGTAAGGCTCAGTGTTGGCCAGGGAGAGGCGCCCAGCTTCGGAAGCTTCTGGAGCCTGGGAGCTGACTCCACCACCGCTGCCAGGTGAGGCTCTGCTAGCACCGCTCACCAGCCCACTGCACTGCTGCTCGCTCAAAATTTCAAGGTCGACTGAAATTTGTTTTGTCTTTTTAGAAATGTTGTTTTCTTTGTGAATTTTTTCAATCCTAGTGAAATACACGGAGTTGATCATGATTGTTGGATTTCAGTCATATCATGTCCCAACACCTGTCCCTTCACCAGTGTACATCGCTCACCATGAATCTTCCCGGTCTCCCTACTCCCCCAGGCAGGCAAGGCACTTCTCTCTCCCTCCTCCTTTCTGCAGTGCTCTCTCTCTCCTCCCTCTCTCCCTCTTTTCTGTCTCCCCCTCTCTCTGACACACGCCTTTCGGTTTACAATACAGATATGGAAAGGTTATTATGTGTATCTCTTTACCTACTTTCAACACCCAGTTCCCGTCCAAAGTGATTTCCAACCATTTCCAAGCATTATTGCCAGACTGGTCCCTACTCTGTCCCCAATGCTTGTGGGAGCTTCCAACCATTGACCAGTCCTCCTGGCCTCCATTTTCCTAGCCTTGGATATCAATCCCCTGTATATCTGTGTGTGTGTGTGTGTGTGTGTGTGTGTGTGTGTGTGTGTGTGTGTATTATGGGCTGGAGCAATAGCACAGCGGGTAGGGTGTTTGCTTGCACGCAGCCAACATGGCCGACCCAAGTTCGATTCCTCTGCCCCTCTCGGAGAGCCCGGCAAGCTACGGAGAGTATCTCGCTCGCACGTAAAGCCTGGCAAGCTACCCGTGGCATTTTCGATATGCCCAACGCAGTAACAAGAAGTCTCACTATGGAGACGTTACTGGGCCCGCTCGAGCAAATCGATGAACAACAGGAGGACCGTGACCATACATATTATATTCCACGAAATGGGTGCTTGTATTTGTCAAGGGAGTTGGGAACCATATCCAGCAGTGCTGAGGCTCCTCCTAACTGCGCAGGCATCACTCCTGGAGGGGATGCTGGGGACCATAGGAAGTGCCAGGGAAAAGACTCTGGGTTTGCTGCTTGCTAGGCATCAGCCTTGCCCCAGGGCTCTCTCTCCAATCTACAGTTTACTGACTTACAACCTAGTATTACAGAATATTCACAGTACGATGTAATATTTGGATATCCTGCAAAGTAACCATGATTCACGTATAGACCGTTTGAATTCCCTACCATAGATTCTAAAGTCAAGGACTGCTATTGGGGCTTATGTAGGCTAAAAGTAACGTTCTTGCTCAAGCTCTTTTTCAGGAAAAATCAACTGAGGACACGTGTGCTTCAAACGTACAGGAGTTGGTGCTTATAAACATCGTTGGTTCTGTTAATTTTGGGTTAATAATATAGCAACTTCCAGTTTCTTTCCCAGACTTTATGGATTGATGGTGTCTGTACTGCATGGTGTCCCTTTATTTTCGTCTTGTCAAATAGCTATGGAGAATCACTGAAGGTATTCATTTTAGGCTACATTGGTTAGGAAGCTTTGCAATAATGCAATAAAGGTTTTATTTGTTTTGGGTTTTTTTTGCCATTAAACCTCACCCAGTGGTTCTATTATTTTTCATCTTTTATAATTTTATTTATTGAATCACCATGAGAGCAGTTACGAAGCTTTCGGGTTTAAATCTTGGTTATAAAATGAAAGACCCGTACCTTCACCAGTGCCATTCTCCACCACCCAAAACCCCAGTATGCCCCCATCCCACACCCTCCCCCTACCTGTGGAGAGATGATTTTCACATTACACTCTCTCTACTTTGATCACATTCAATATTTTGACACTGGACCCACCATTATTATTTGGGATTTTACCCCAACACACAGAGCTGCTGAAAAGGCAACAGTAGACAATTTGTTTTCTATTCCTGGTTATGAATAACATATGATGTCGCGTGGTTGTAGTAGTGGCTGCGCGATTTTGAAATTCCAAAATTTTAACAATTAAATCTGGAGGGATTTCTTGCCAAAACCTGCTGGGTTCCAAGATTTGTTCCTGAGTCTGTGGGATCATGGCCGTTAAGCAGATTGATCGGGAGCCAGAAAGGCCATTAGTGGGCGGTGACTAGGGGTCTTGCTGGGATGGGGAGGAAAGGGCTGGTCCCACCCCCATCCCGTGAGGCCCCACATGTCTCATCACTGAGGGCCCAAACCTGACTGTCCAATGGCCTCTGGAGGATGGCGGCCACCGAGCCGCCAAGGGGGAGCAGGTGGAGGGACAGCACCCTTTCCTCCCTGGAATGGCCCAGCGACAGTAACCTACTGCAGGGTCCAGATGCATTTCTGCCAAAAGCTACTGGATTCCGAGATTTGTGTCTGAGTCTCTGGGATCATAGTCATTCAGCACCTTAATCAGGACCCAGAGAGGCTGTTCATGGGCGGCGACTTGATGTCACGTTGAGACGGGGAGGAAAAGGCTGGCTCCACCCCCATCCCATGAGGTCCCCCTTGTCTCATCACTGAGGGCCCAAACCTGACTGTCCAATGGCCTCTGGAGGATGGTGGCCACAGAGCCGCCAAGGGGGAGCAGGTGGAGGGACAGCACCCTTTCCTCCCTGGAATGGCCCAGCGACAGTAAACTACTGCAGGGTCCAGATGCATTTCTGCCAAAAGCCACTGGATTCCGAGATTTGTGTCTAAGTCTCTGGGATCATGGCCGTTAAACAGCTTGATCAGAAGCCAGAGAGGCCGTTTGTGGGTGACAACTTGGGGTCTTTTTGTTTAGGAAAGGGCTAGCTCCACCCCCATCCCATGAGGCCCTACGTGTCTCGTCACTGTGGGCCCAAACCTGACTGTCCACTGGCCTCTGGCGGATGGTGGCCAATGAGCCACCACGGGAGAGCAGGCGGAGGGAGAGCACCCTTTCCCCCCCGGGGTGGCCCGGCAACAGTAACCTATTGTGCGATCTGGACGCATTTCTGCCAAAAGTTGCTGAGTTTCGAGATTTGTTTCTGAGTCTCTGAGATCATGGCCGTAAAACAGCTCGATCAGAAGCCAGAGAGGCCGTTTGTGGGTGACGACTTGGGGGTCTTGTTGGGGAGAAAAGGGCCAGCTCCACCCCCATCCCATGAGGCTCTACGTGTCTTGTCACTTTGGGCCCAAACCTGATTGTCCTGTGGCCTCTGGAGGATGGCGACCAGTGGGCTGCCAGGGAGAACAGGCCAGGGCACGAAATCTATTCCCACCTGGGGTGGCCCAGCGCCTCTAACCTACTGCAGGGACTGGACACATCTCTGCCAAAAAACATTGGGTTTTGAGATTTGTTTCTGAGTCTCTGGGATCATGGCTGTTAAGCAGTTCAATCAGGAACCAGAGAGGCCATGTCTCCAATTATATAGCTGAACTGGAGGTGGTTTGTGGGTATATCTCCCACATATCTTTTACCTGTTTACTTTCTTGGTCAACTCTGCCTCAAGTTTTTGGGGTCTGGCCAAACGCACGGCAGCAATTTGGGGGTACCTGGAAGTCTGAAGGCGCCATCAGGCTGCTGATGCTCTCGCCTCACAGGTACAGACTGACCTGCTGGTGGCACCATACCCCCAACCCAGTGCTTCTTAGGGTTTACTCCTGCCTCTGCACTTAGAGATTGCTCCTGCCAGGACACAGATGACTGGATGGGATTCCTGCCATTGAACCCAGATCAGCCACATGCAAGTACCCTACTCACTGCACTATCTCTTTAGCCCAAGATAAACGCTTTTAAGAAAATGGTTTACAGGCCCAGAGCAATAGGGCAGCTGGTAGGGCATTTGCTTTGGCCAATCTGGCTTCAATCCCTGTAATTCCATATAGTCTGCCCAAGCACTGTCAGGAGTGATTCCTGAGTGCAGAGCCATGAATAAGCCCTAAGACATCACCAGGGGTGGCACAAACATAAAGAAACAAAAAGAAATTGGTGTATCAGAATTCCATTGTAGAAACTGTTTGACTCATTTGACTCTATAGTTCTTCACTGCTAGCCAAAAATCTTTTCTAAAGAAACCTGAGAATAATCAGTTATCACTGGCAAAAAATAAATAATTTTATTAAAGTAGATATAGAACACTTGCTTGCTCAAATTTTAATACTGCTTTACATAGTTTGTGAAACAATTTCAATAATGGTCATTACTAAAAATTTCAATGGATCCAGATCTTTCACTTGTCAGACAGCTGATAATCTCCAGAGGAAAATACATCAAAATCATACATATAATTATAGAAGTTCTTATTATACATGTAGCCTGGATGGTACATTATCACTTTTGACAGAACTAGAAAACATTCAAATAAAGAAAAATAGATTGAAACTGGATGACAAACTTCTGATGGTTGAGGTCCTTCATTCAATCTTTTTGTGGTAAGAAAATCCAAAATTAGTAATGTTGAATTTCTCATCATACATTCATCTAAAACCACAGTGAAAAATGTAAACCTTGTAAAGACAGTAAAATGGTTATTCTAGGTGTTTCACAAATAGCTGGTTATGTCATCCTTCAAGTGCTGGTGATTGCTGCACAGTGCAGAGAATGGGGTGGCCGGGCCGAAGTTGTCGTCGTAATTGTTGAGTCGTCCCCGTTCCCGTCGAGAGCCACCTCGGATATCATCTCCACTTTCATCTTGAGGTCCTGATTCTTTCTTTGGAGGTCCACGATCACGGAATTCAGGAAATCGATCTGTGTTAAAGGAGAGCGTGAGACGGTGAGCCATCTGCGGGAGCCATCGGAGCCCGCCACAGAGGAGGCTGGGCCCCGCTTCCAGTCCCCGCCCCAGGGTTGGAGGCAGCCAGAGCTCCCCTTTCCCTTCCTGAGCGCAAGCTCCCGGGTGCCCCAGGGAAGACCCCAGGAGGACATGCTGGGCCCCCTCGGTTCCTCTCAGAGCAGGGAGTCAAGAGGGCCTTCCCTCTCCTACAAAGACAGACTCACTTCTTTAAAATCCACGGGGCGGGGGGGGGGGGGAATCCCACTTTACAAAGGTAAGCATGACTATAGGCACAAACATTCATGTTTCACTTAAAAACTGGCAGGTTTGGGTCTGAGTGATAGCACAGCGGGAAAGGTGCTTGCCTCGCACGCAGCCAACCCAGGTTTGATCCCTGGCATCCCATAGGGGCCACTGGAGAGCAGCCAGGAGTGATTCCTGAGTGCAGAGCCAGGAGGAAGCCCGGAGTATCGCCAGGTGTGGCCCCCAAAGAAAGAAGAAAGAAAACCATAAAGCTGACTGATTCTTTTTCTCCCTCGGGGCAAGTTCTGATGAGGAGTCTCTGAGAGTGCCCAGGCCCTCCCACACTGGAGCCAAGAAACACAGATCTCTCTTCCTCCAGGTGAAGAAAACAAACACAAAAAAACATGGAAATGTTCAGTTCCCAACAAGCCCATGCAGGGTCCACCTCCACAGCCCACATGCAAAGTTCACTTCAGCCCACATGTGCCGTCCAGGACAACGGCTGTTAAGTACAGAAGTGCAGGAAGTGAGGGTGTGCGGGAACTCCACAGGGCACTGGGACCCAGATGGTCCCCTTCCTTGGAGAGGATTCAAATTATAAAGTGTTGCAGGCCAGGTGGGATGGAAGGGGGTTTGGGAAGGAGAGACATCAAGGAGGCCCCAAGGCTGACTCCTGCCGCAGGCCAGACGCAAGCCTGGTGATGGTAGGTGCGGGCACTGGGGTCTGCAGCCAAGTGTGCACACCCCAGAAGACCCCACCCAGCTGTCTCCCTCGACAGGAGCAAGAAGCAGGAAGGCGGCCCAGAGGACCAGACTCCCCAGCTCTGCGCCCAGAGCATGCACAACGTGGCCGGGACAGCCACATGTTGGTGGACGTTTCCGTTTGCGACCGGACCTTCCTGATGGGAAGGAGGCCCTCCAAAGTGGTGTTCGACTCTGGCAAAGTGAAGATTTGCCAATTTTATGGGAGCCCGAAGCCCAGGTTCTGGGAGAGCAGCAGGAGTAAGGGCTGTGGAGGGGTCTGGCTTCTCGGCTCTGGCAAGGACGTGACCCCTTGACTGAAGGGATGTGTCCTTGTCCATGGGGCCTTTCACTCCGTAAGCATCACCTCTTGTGCTGGGAGCATGTGGGGATGGGGTTCCGGCAGCGTGTGCCCAGCCCCTGGTTCTCACGCGCGCCAGGTGAGCACCGCCCCTTCTTCCTCAGCTTCCTTCTTTTTGGCTTCTTTTATTGTGATTAATCAATTCATTTGGGGGGGGGGGCTTTTGGGTTACAACCCATCGTTGCTCAGGAGTGACTCCTGGCTCTGCACTCAGGGACCATATGGGATGCCGGAGATGGAACCTGGCTTGGCCACGTGCAAGGCAAACACCCTACCTGCTGTGCTGTAGCTCCGGCCCCACTCTCGGATATTTTAAATGGTAGGTATTCCCCGACTCTTTTGAAGCATACACGCATATATACATATGTACATGTCTGTGTATGTATACATGCTCATCTATAACCTTTGTGGGTCGTCAGTTTGGTTTGTTTGGTGCGGTGGGGACTATGCCCTGGCTCTGTGCTCAGGGATCACTCCTGGCGAGGGAGGAGCAGCCCAGGCCGTCAGCAGTCACTCGAGCCCGGGAAAGTGGGGCTGTGTGGTCAGAGGGCACTGGCTCGCCTTCTCACGGTCATCAAAGAGCCTTGAAATGCTGCGTATGTCAACACATGTGGCTTCTCTTCCTGTCCCGGCCCAGGCTCTGGGCGAGCTAACTGGGGCGTCCAGTCCCTGCCGGGCTCCTTGCTCCGCCGAGCAGTCTGGGAGTGGTCAGCTGTTCAGTGATCTCGCCAGGCCGCCCCATGTCCCCCAGATTCTGTGTGGTCACTCCACGCAGCACCTCCCCAGGGGTCATACAGGGGTCATGCAGGGGTACACTTCCCCTCCTGTCCCATGCGAGAACCAGGGACCAATTACTCCTGGCAGTGCTCAGGGGACCAGATGGGATGCCGGGGATTGAACCTGGGTCTGGCGTGTGTAAGTCAAACGCCCTCCCCGCTGTGCTATCGCTCTGGCCCAGGATATAGTTTCTCTCAAGGCTGAGGCCGGGCCTACACGCCCTGGTCACCACCATCACCCACCTCATTCTGCAAGTTTGCATTGGTGTTCCTGGTGTCCTCCAGGGAGGCCAGGGTCTCTGTCTTCTCCTGGGACAGTTGCTGCATAAAATGCCTGGCATCTTCCGCTGTCTGCACAGCCTGGAGAGAGAAACCTCGTTGAGCCACGCCGGGGGGGGGGGGGCAGGGAGGGGTTGGCAACAGTGGCACAACACAGCGCGAAATGCCCCACAAACCACCCACACCTGCCACAGTGGCTCCGGCCCCGCTGGCCGCCGGTTCATCCTGCGGGGACTCACGTCTGAGCCGCTCAGCAGCAAGACTGACACCCAGAAACAGCCCAGGGCTCCCAAGAGCCTCCATTCCTCACACAGAATAAAAATGACATGAGCGGACAGCTAAGCAGGCCTGGGTGGAAAGCGTGGGGGCGGGGGGGAAGGAGAGGAGATGTGAGCAGTGAGCACAGGTGTGGGAGTGGGAGAAAGGTAAACCCTGAGTGAGGTGGGAAGAGAGAACACCTGCCCGGCACCAGGCACCCTCGAGTCCAGGCTGCCCTGCACCGGGCACACTGCTGGTGGCACAGGGCACCCCCGAGTCCCAAGTGAGCAGACTCAGGGCAACCGCTCAAAGTCCCCCCGGAAGACACTGCTTTGCTTTACAACTTAGTGCCTCTCTCATGCCTTCCCTTACGTCTTGAAGAGCCACAGTGCAATCTTCCGTGAGAACTCCCCCCGGAAATGAACATACTGTCCTTTCTCGGTTTTATTCACAGCTTATGCCTTGTCCTAGAGGTCACCAGGCACGTGGTGACGAGCTGTCCCTGCGCCCGCAGCAAACAGCCCGTGACACACTGGTTCCGTGGGGGTGCACCTCTCCTTGTGCCGACGAAGAGCAATCCTCTTAACCGCTAAAAGGGGGTGCCCGGGGCCAACGAGGGTCGGGCCTGCTCCACTTTACCGTAAAAGAGTGCAGCGTCTTGAGCTCTCTGATCTTGAAGGTGAGCCTGATCTTGTCCTTCCTCAGTATGCGGTTCTCCTTCTGGGCCTCCAGGAGGTTGGCCGAGACGTGGCTGCTGGTCTGGGCCAGCCGACTGACCTCCTTCTGGAGGAGGAAGTAACTGCCGGCCAGCTGCTCCTTCTCCCGCAGGCACTCCTCCTGCCGCTCGGCGTCAAGCGCCTCCTTGGCCTGCAGCACGCTGGCGTGTGTCTTCTCCAGGCTGCGGGCTGCGTCCCTGGCCTCCTGCAGCGCCGCCTCGAGGGCGCCCTGGCTGGCCGCCAGCCCCTGGAGCTCCTGCTGCAGCACCTCCAGCTCGGCCTTGTGCATGGTCTTGGTGGCCTCGTCCAGCTGCGTGCGCAGGCAGCTGGCCTCGGTGCCCAGCAGCTCCTTGGCCTGTAGCGCCGTCTCCAGGCTGGCGCCCAGCTTCTCCTGCTCCTGGCGCAGCAGGTCCTTCTCGAGCTGCAGCTCCTTGTTCCTCTGAGCCAGGCCGTCACGCTCCAGCTTCAGGGCCACGCACAGGCTGTCGAGCTCCAACTGCTTCTCGAGGGCCGACTCTTTCTCGGCCGTGAGCTCCTCGATCTCTTGCACCAGCGACTTCTGATCCCAAGCCAGCTCATGATAGGAGCACTGCAGCTTCTGGATGATGTTGTCCTTGTCCTTGGCCAGGGATAGGTTCTCCAGAACCAGCTTCTTGACATGCTCCTCCAGCTGGCCCCTCTCCTCCAGGCCCTTCTTACACTCAGCCACCAGGCTGCTCTTGCTCATCTGCAGCTCCTCCACCAGGGCCTGCAGCCCCACCTTGGCGACCTGCAGGGCGTCGTTCTCCGCGCCCACCCTCTGGAGCTCCTCCTGCACCGCCCTGGCTTCTTCCAGCACTTTCTCTTTCTCCGCCTCGAGGGCTTCTCGGCCGAGCTGCTCCTCCTGCCAGAGCTTCTCTGCGGCCCGCCTGGCCTCGATGACCTTCTCCTTGTCGCAGCGTATGGCTTGGTTCAACAGCCAGAGTTTCCTCTGCTCTTCCCGCAGCGAAGAGTTTTTGGCCTCCGCTTCCTTCAACTTCAATAGCAATGACTCTCTCTCTGACTTCAGAGAGAGCTTCTCCTTCGCCAGCAATTGATTCTCTGACCTCAGGGCCCTGAGATCCTCCGACATCAGCTCAATTTCCTCTGATGTTATTAGGGAAGTTAATGACTACAGAAACAAAAGCGGGGAAGAACGGAAACAAGAATGAGATCAAGCAGGCACAAGCAAGCCAAGCACTTAATGTGGCCTAAACACCAGAAATGAAAATGGCAGAGTAGTCTTACCTGCACACGCGTGCATACGTGCATGCACACACAAGCACACAAACACGTGCACGCACACAAACGCACACACACGCACACACACACACACTCGCAGGATGGAGAGGCTCAAACACAGTTAACTTCACAGGGTCAACATATCTACCTGCCTATTTTGTGGATGGGGGCCCCACACCTGGTGGTGTTCGGGTCTCGCTCAGGGTTCTGTGCTCAGGGATCACTGCTGGCAGGGCCGGAGGACCATACGGGATGCTGGGGATCAACCCGGGTTGGCCAAGTACAAGGCAGCACTACCCATTCTACTATCAGCCATTTTATTTTTGAAATGCCGTCTGAAATTATTCCTGACAGCTCCCCGGAAGTTTTAAGTACAGTTGGATCTTGACATTGGGGCATAAGATTTTTCCCCCCACTTCAATTATTCCATTACAAAATCCATCACTCTGTCATAGAAGGGATGCATTAAAAAACTAGTTTCCAGTACAATTCAAAGAACTACAAAAAGTATTTTGTTGTTGAACTTTGTGCAGGAGGGGAAGGGAAAAGCAACCATTGCTTGCAAAACGATTTTCACAGGGACAAACAGAGGCAGGAAATGGACTTAGTCCCAAAAGTTTTACACTTTATAGAAAATCCAGACTAATCCACCAAGCTTTGGAGACTGAAGCCAACAGGTTTTGCTTGCCAAACACAGTAACAACAAGTCTCAAAATGGAGACATTAGTGGGCCCGCTCGAGCAAATCGATGAACAATGGGAGGGCAGTGTTTGCAGAAATTTGGGAGGGGCCCAGGGGCTCCAGGAGGAGTGGCCGCACACGGGCCAGAGTCTCCCTCACCTGCTCTCCCTGCCCGTCAGCAACGGGTTGTGCGTCTTCGTTTCTGAGTCTCAATGCACACCATAGTTTAACCGCCATGTACTTTCCAGAACTTTCTGCAGCAAGGGCTATCTTCTCTGTCCAGCTCAGCAGCCATGAGCCGCAGCAGGCTACTGGCGTGCGCTGGGCAGCTGACCGCTGACGGTCAGGTTACTGGAATGGGACTGACCTGAGCATGCACACGAGGCTGCTGGCCACAGAACTGGGCCGTGCAGGTGGTCCAGAGAGGAGACGTAGCCCTGGCTCTGGTGCGTGGTGGAAAGAGGCCGGGCACCAACACACACGCGGGCCATGGCCGCCGCTCAGCAGCCCTGGTTTCCTCTGATGTAAGCTCGGTTCCGTTTTCTTTCCACTGGCTTATAGATATGTATACACACACATATACATACAAGCACATATATGTATAGGCATACACATATATGTATAAACTATACATGGGACCAAGTGTGTAAAACTGAAAATGTATCAAAATATGTACATATGAATTAAAATACACTTATTATATGGATATAAAGATGTACACATATGTACATGTTATGTATGTACACACATATATGTGTGTGTACATTATTTTCCTTCTTGTTTTGGGGTTCACACCCGGCAGAGGTCACGGCTTCCTCCTGGGTGCTTGGGGGACCACGGGGGATGCTGGGGATCCCCCGGTGGGTCACGTGCACAGCAAGTGCCCTCTCACTGCACTAGTTCCAGCCGCTTTATTTCTCCCCACTGAGCTTCGAACCTTAACATTTCTTTGATACATGAAAAAATGCCTTTGAGCAGTCAAGTGAAAACACGAAGGCCTGAACTTACTGAGCAAGCTAAAAACAAAACAGACAACCCAAGCTGGGGTCCCTGGGCTTCTATGTGCTCTGCCGGGCGCCCCGGGAGCAACCCCCTTCTGGCTCTCACAGGCGCCGACGGACGGAGGAAGTGTCTGAGGCTGCAGGCCGAGGCCCCCAACAGAGCCCGACCCCGAGACGGCGGCCCTGCGCCCACACACCTTGGCCTTGTCGGCTTGCGTCTTCAGCTCGGCCACCTCCCGCAGCAGGCTCCCGTTCTCCGCCTGCACCGCCTGCAGCTTCTCCTCCGCCTGCAGCAGCAGCTTCTGCAGGGCCTGCAGCGCCTCCTCGTGCTGCGCCTGGCTCTCCGTGGTGGACTTGGCGTGCTCGGCCTGCAGAGCCTGGGACTGGCTGCGGCTCACGTCCACCTTCTCCCCCTGCGGGGAGCCGGGGGCCACCATCAGCTGTGGGCCCCCTGCCTGCCCCCAGCACACACACGCGCACACACACACACAACGCATACAGTGCACACAAACACACAAACACACAAACATACCCGCACACACACGGCGACTCTGCTCACCAGCACACACACACACACACAATGTGAGCCTCAGAGGCGATAGGGCCGAGCTCGCCTGAGGAGGCTTCGCTTTGCCCTCAGCAATGTAAAGATCAGCGTCCGACTCCCCTGGTACTCACCAAACTCCGAAGCTCTTTCTCCAAAGCCTCCTTCACTCGACTGACTTCGTTCAAGTTCTCCTGAAGACTACGAAGCGCTAGCTCCTTCCCCTGCAGCTCCTCGGCCAGGCTCTCGGCCTACCAGAGAGACAAGGATGGAGTGAATGGACCAAGGGGACGAACAGGAACAGGAAGGGGAAAACAAAACAGAAAGCACGTATGAGAAGCCCATGACCCAACACAACCCCGAAAAACAGAGGCGTGAGGTGAGTGCGATTGCCTGAAGTTCTCAAAGCCAAGGCCTTGGCGCCGTCAGTTCTGGTGATGACTGTCTAGTGGTTACTGAAAACGGCTCAAACAGAGGCGTTTTCTAGACCTACATTTGGAGTGACCAGAAAATAAGAAAGCCTATGAGAAAGACTGACTTTCCAGGGGCGGGGAGACGGCACAAAGGGCTGGAGTACACACCAGGCCCGAGTTGGAACTGCAGCACCACTGGGCGAGCCTGAGATCGGTCCACAAGCTGAAAGACCCACTACTGCTGGGCAGGAGGACCCCAGAGCCGAGAGCATGGCTTGGCGAGGAAGAAGGACGTAAGCAAGGGAGGAGGGAGGCTAAGGATACGAAGGAGGGAGGGAGGAAACAGGGAAGAAAGGGAAAGGGAGGGAAGGGAGGGAAGAAAATGTTATTATTTTTTTTTTTTGGCCCGCTTGAGCTAATTGATGAACAAAGGGAGGACAGTGACAATGACAGTGACCCTATGGGATGCTGGAGATCGAACTCACGTAGGCCGTGTGCAAGGCAAATGCCCTTCCCACTGTACTATCACTCTGGCCCCCAAGATTTACTTTCTTGTAGTTTCTTGTCTGTGACTTTAAAAGTTTGAGGGGTTTCAATATGAAATTTAAATTGAAGAACCTCTAATCCACTAGACAGCAGAACGTGACGTTTGTTACATCTTGATGCGAACAAGTGGTTCAACTATGCCCTGCTGTGTCCTAGGAATTGATTCTGTTTGTTTCTGGAATGTCAGCTAAGGAGTCCTGAGTCCTGAGAGGAACTCCCGGGGGTCTCTGGGTCCTTCTGTTATGTCTGTCAGTCCTGTCTACAAATCCCACAGCCCTTCCATCTTGGCCAACAGAGAAGTTTCTTCAACAAAGCGCACAGCGCCATGGGGGTCGGTGGGGGGCGGCTGGGAGGGTGCGTCCTGCCACCACAATCCTATAGGAGTTAAAGGGCATTTTTCCAAGGGGCTCCTGGGTGAGAACTGCAGCTTCCTCGGCTTGGCCCAGATCTCACTGTCTTGTCCTTCCCCAGGGTCAGGGCTACCATGAGAGTCCATGTCCGTGGCCAGCAGGAGGCCATGCTGGAAGGCGGACTTGGCCCAAGCACCCCTTAGAGGCTGAAAGGGATGAAATCTCTGCAGGGCTGGGCAGGGGCTTGTGCTGCAGGCAGGGAGGGGCCGGCAATGAGAAATACCAAGATGGGCCACGTCACCAGCCCTGAGGGAGCTCAGAGGCTCAGAGGCATTGAGCACCAGCTGGAAACTGAGGCGCCTCGGGGAGAGGTTGGCAAAGCCAGTCACACGAGCAGGTGGTCAGCAAGGTCAGGGAAAGAACCCTGCGGCCAGACTTGAGCCCAAGGGTCTGGGCGGACTCGGCGAGTACGCAGGGGGCCTAAGGGGGGGGCAGAGGTTTGCTTTGGGGGCTCCTATCTTGTTTTCTCACTGGCCTTGTGAAGAGTTCTCAGTTTCAGAAAGACCCCAGACGGGCCCGATTAGCCGGGGCCAAGGCTTGCACGGCATCTGGGTGCTGGGGACCAATGACAGTCCCAGAATCGTGCCGACACGTTCTCAGTCCCATCAGAGGGAACCGCACGGGACGTGACCGGGAGACCTGTCAGCACCAAGCCGGAACACGGCGGCGAGCAGACAGACACACAGCATGCAGGGAGCGAGCGTGGAAGTGGGCGAGGGCACCCGGGTACCAACCTGCCACTCTCGGCCCGCTTTGCATTCTCTAACTCCTGAATCTGCTGCTCAGCCACCTGGAGCTGCTGCCTGAGCTTCTCCATTCCCAATTGACCTCGGAACTGGCCTTTCGGAGCCCATCGAGCTGCAAGAGCTTCTGCTGGGTGGCCTCCAGCTGCGCCGTGGCGTCGGCCAGGGCCTGGGCTTGCTGCCTACACATGGCCCGCAACCCCTCCAGGTGCGTTACCTTCGTCTCCGCCTCCTGCAGCTTGTTCAGGGCGTCCTCCATCTCCACCAGGTGCTGGTCCTCGGTCTGGTCGAGCTTGGCCCGCGCGGCCTCCAGGCTGTTCTTCTGCTCCTGGGCTGTCCTGACCAGCCGCGACCTGAGCGTCTGCAGCTCAAAGGCGTGCGCTGCACGCTCAGCCACCTGCTGGGCCTTCGAGTTCTCTACCTCCTGCTGGTACTCGAACTGCAGCCTCTCCATCTGCATCTTGAGCTCGGCCAGCTCGGCCGCCTCGGCGCCCACGCCCCGGCTCACGGACGCCTTCGGCTCGCCCATGGCCTGTTGGTGCGGGGCGATGGCCGTCTCCAGCTTGGACTTCCACGGGGCGATCACGTCTGTGTTCTCCTCGTTGGCATGGTCCAGCTTAGTTCTCAGCCCCTCGTTCTCCTTGGCGAGCTTCTCGGAGGCCGCCTGCAGGGCCTTCACCTCCTTCTGGTGGGAAAACAAAATTTCCATGAACTTAAAACAGGAAGGAAAAGAAGCAGAAATAGAAATTATTCTTTTGCAAACTGACTGTTTGCTTTTTCTTGTTTTAAGGAATACCTTCCAATAAACTGGGGTTCTAAAGGATTTGATTTGTGCTGCTCGACTGAAAATCAAAGCTGAGGCAAAGGCGTAGACCCAACTGTCAGAACGAGAGGAAAACGCTCATCAACAGCAGCCTCCGGCCCCAAGGAGCAGAGGTGCCTCCGCCGGGCCCTGCCAGGTGCATGACCCCTGGTATCCCTGTCTGATTCGGAGTCTCCAGCAGAAGTGGTCCCGGCGGGGTCGGCCAGGCCACCCCGCATCCTTGCCTGCACCCTGCAAGCCTCTGGGACCTGCCCGGGCTTTACCTCCAGGTCGCCCTTGGTGATGGACTCCTCTTCGACTCGGAACTGGAGGTCCTCCACTTTCCTGTGGGGGAGAGGGAGAGTTGTGAGGGGCGTCACTGCTGCCCCCCTTGAGGGCCACCATCCTGTAGATGCACGCCTGACCCAGCCCCCGCCTCCACACACAGGAGGGCTGAGAGAGTCAGCGAGGGCCAGAGCGAGAGTACAGCGGGCAGGGCATTTGTCTTGGCACGTGGCCGTCCCGGGTTCAATTCCCAGCATCCCATTATGGTCCCCTGGGCAATGCCAGGAGTAATTCCTGAGTGCTGAGGCAGGGAGCATCGCTGGATTGACCCAAAAAGAAAAAAAACAAAGTCAGCGAGTCCCCTCGGCTGTGAGCACTGGGTGGTACCCGCAGGCTACAGGAGGAAGCTCTGTCGAGCCAACGCCAGGCGCACTGTCATATCAGCCTTTTCTGCCTCGCAGCTAACAGAGGTGGTTAGAGACTGACCAGGTGCGCGTGCCAGTCCCTCCCAGCCAGCGCCTGTCCCCACATCGGGACAACAACTGAGCCCCTGGGGGAGAAGCAGCAAATGACTCGGGGCCAGGGCGGGGGGGGCAGGAGGGGCTCCCAGGGGACGTGGCGAGTTCGGCATGTGGAGCTGAGGGGCTGAGCCGGGCACTGGCAGTGCCCCTGGGCACCACACTGCCGGGAGCCCATCTGAGAAGACCGTCTTGGCCGGCACCCCGTGTCCGTCTGTCTGCAGCCTGGCCTGAGCCCTGCCTGTCTGCTGCCGTGCCCCATGGGTGCTGCGGGTTTCCTCCCGCCCAGGATTAACCCCAGGGACTCCCACAGGGCCCCACTGGGATATGACAGTTCCCGGCCACCCAGCACAGGTCTCCTGAACACCAGGCCACGTGGACACAGCAGGGAGGGCCGGGGGTGGCTGGGCTCCAGTGAGCTCCCCCCATCCCCCCCAATGAGGCCACTCTCAGGACTGGGCACCCGCTAGTTTGTGGTTCTCACAGCCCTGGAAGGCCAGGAGCACCCCACCCGAGGCAGCCCCCCAGCTCCTGGCACAGCCTCACCTCTTCTCCTCCTCCAGCTGGTTCAGCAGCTCCACCTTCTCCCAGTCGGTCGCTTCCAGCATGGCCCGCAGCTCGTCCATCTTGGCCTCCAGCTCCAGGACGTGCTGTGGAGGCAACTGCGCGTGAGTGTCCTCGCCCGCCCCCGACAGCCCTCTGTGGGCTGGCACCGCCACCTGCCACCGCAGCATGCTGAACACGTCTCCCACCTAAGCTGCAGCGTTTCTGGAAGGCCGGGGGGGAACCACACCACGAAAGCACCAGCGGGGATAACTCGGCGCTCCCTGAACCCCCACGGGGTGAGCAGAAGGTGCATGCGATCAAACCACGCGCCGGATGCCACCGCAACGACGGCAGACGGGGACCCACGGCCTCTCCCTGCACCGCCTGCACCAAGGTCGCGCCCAGCATTTGCCGCAAGCGTCTCTTGGCCCCGGCACTGCCGTCTGCACAGACGTCACCTGGTCGTGCCCGTCCCAGCCAGGGCCAGCTCCTGCTCTATCTCCCCCACATGGCTCGTGGCCTTGGCCACCTCCACCCGCTCCAGGTCTCGCTCGGCCAGCAGCTGCTCAATGTGCTGCTGCTTCTCCTTCAGCGCCTCCTGGAGGGCGGTTGTGCTGGAGATCTTGCAGGCATAGCGAGAGGAGGTTTCTGGCAACTGCAAAGGAAAAAGAGACGTGAAGGGGGTGGGGGTGGCGGACGCGGGCATGCACACGGCTATCCTCAGCAAAGCAGATGGAGCAGCGCTGCATCCGTGCATATGGGCCAGCGACTCTCAGCAGAAGCGTCTTGAAACCTTCCCGAAGGTCCTTGGACGGGACCTGGGCTCCACTGACCTCGGGCCTCGTGGGAATCCAGAGACTCTTCTGCAGAGCCGGAGGCAGCCCCCTCCACAGCCCGCTCTGGCCTGAGCTTCCTTAAGGCTGA